TATATTTATTATCATATTTCTATTTTTAATATTATATTTTATTTAAGGGGAGTGCTATTTATCATATGATTTCTTTTTACTATAGCGGTATCCTTATCATCCTACACCTGATTATATCACATACAAATTTAATCACATATAAGGGGAGTGCCATTTATCACATGATTTTTTTGTAGGTAGGTAGGGTAAGCGAATTATCAGATTCCAGTTTTAACTCTGACTAGAATTAAGCAGATTGATAAATCTGACTGAAATTAATAACACGTGATATATGATCATGAGATTAAAAAAAAATATATTCAGTATATCATGATTTTTATATGATATCATTAAATCGTGATACTATTTCCTATGAGTGGGAAGTAAACTTATTATTGGTAAACTGAATATTTTATTAAGTTATCACTAAATCACATAGTTATTAAATCGAGCTTTGACTATACTTTTTAATTTCTTGATATTATAAGATCTTTCTGTTGTCTTTATCAAGCCAGGTAATTGGTTTACTTTTTTACTCAATATCTGAATGCATAACAAGACCATCATTCAAATTCTACACATTTCCTTGGCTCTAAGATACATCTTCTGCCATAACAAAATTTGACAGTGCATGACAATGATTTCAGATATCTGGATATTTATGTTTCTTATGGTCAGCTACGAACTTTAAGGTGGGGAAATATTTGCTGTAAATATTACAAGAAAGGTGTTGATATATTTCAGCTGGAATTGATGAACAATGATAGTTATAAGATGGGATTTTGTATTTGTCAATATAGTCAAGAAGATAGATTGGATTAAGAAAATGGCCATCTCTTCCTTGGATGACAGGAGGAAAGAATCCATTATTTTCATCTAATAATAGTTCAAATTCTGGTACCATATACTCATTATAACATTCTCTATTTGTATATTTTTTGATATCCAATGAATATCAACAGATCTGAATATGGTGTTCAATCTAATCTCAATTTATTTTCTCATGAGAATCTTTAAAAAGATCTTGGAATTGGTCAATATATTGGGCAATAACAGGTTTGTTATTGATATAGTTTCATTTTCAAATATCACAAAGCTTTTGATTAAAAAACAAGAAATTTTGATAAGCTAATACTTTATTGATCACTCTTTCTTGACTATCGAGGTGAAAACCATATTCATTTATAGCCAGCATGATACCTGCAAGTTTTTCTGATAAACTTGCCATGCTTCTTTTAACTGGGTTATATGCACTTTATCCCAGAGCATGCGTTCGGATTGTAATATAATCAAGATCAAGTTTTCAGAAGAGGTTATAATATTCAATAATATTTTTTAGATGTCTGGAGTTTTCATCAGGATCTCCATCAACTAAAAGAATCCAAATTGACTTGACTTTGCCCTCTTTTTTCAGGATTGATGTAAATTAATTATTGTAAATAAGATTTATCAAATTTTACATGTGAGTACATGACATAGTACCAATAAAATACTCAGGATGAACAAATATCACTAGTTATCCATTTCAAAGTTCATCATTACTATTTTGAGGATCAATCATCAGGTAGACACTTGGAATTAGTTTTATTTTGCTATCATGAATAAAATTATGATCTTTAACAAGTACTAATTCATTAGCTGATTGAATTGCTTTGAATGTTCTTCCGACTGCAGGAATGTCAAGTCTAATTTTTGCTTTATCATCTTGTGAGATGATAACAGCATCTGCCATAAACATATTAGCAATTGCTTTGGCTCCTTTGACAAAAGCTAAGCAATAATGTTCATCAGAGTGATTTTTCATTTCAGATCTTGAAATAGAAGCCAGTCTAACCAAAGCTGAATACTTATGTGCCTTTGCTGCAAATGTGTATTGGTAATGTGGTTGTAAATAATTTAAAAGGGTTTATCTTGCAAGATAAATATTATAATTTTGTTGCAAATTTTCTCGCAAATACTTAATTGATCAGACTTTGATTATAGTTTTTCTTCTTTTACAATTTGCTACACCAAATTTAACACAATCATGGATTTTATCTCACAGATCAGAAATTTGCATTGCAAGTGGAGGATGTCCAGGTATATCATATTGTTCAACAATACCCTCTTCTAATAATTTTGCTTTCTTGGCTATCAAATGATATTGTGCTTCAGTGTGGTGTTTTAATTGCTTGAGTCTTGTCTGATATTCTTTGATTAACTTATCATCTGTTTGTATTCTTTTTTCCACTAGAATTTTTAGCTCTTTGTCACTTGTAAGTTAATATAATACTTGATTTTCAATCAATCGCTCTTGATATTCTTGTATAATTTTTGTTGTATATCTTTGGTCAAGAGTATTTGGAGGAAGATTTGGAGTTTTAGCGAATATTAAATGTGATTCAGCAATATAAGAATGATTATTGGAACTTTTTGCTGAATTAATTGAAAATATGGCATGATAATTGTAAATAACTCTTGGTTGTGATGCAAGATATTCTTGTATTTATTGTAGAATTGTATCTTGATCTTGAACTTTGATAGTTTTCCAAGAAATTCTTGCTTCTTGTAAAACTATTTGTTTATTTAGAGCAATAATATCTTTTTTTACCATATATTGATATGCATAAGCATTATAATATTCTTGATAAAGATTAGTTAGATTTATAAAAAATAGTATTTTATTAAACTTGGGAGCTGAAAGGAAACTTTGCATTATTATTCTTTGTGAATGTTATCAAAAAAGTATGTAAAAAATCCTATATTGTTACAACTTATCATTAATTATATTATATGTGATTAAATTTACACGTGATATAATTAGGTATAGGATGGTAGGGGTACCACTATAATAAAAAGAAATCATGTGATAAATGACACTCTCCTAATATAATTAATGATAAGATGCAATAATATAGGATTTTTTACGTATTTTTTTGATAGTATTCACAAAGAACAATAATGCAAAGTTTTCTTTCAGCTCCCAAGTTTAATAAAACACTATTTTTTATAAATCCAACTAATCTTTATCAAGAATATTGTAATGCTTATGCATATCAATATATGGTAAAAAAAGATATTATTACTTCAGACAAATAAATAGTTTTACAAGAAGCAAGAATTTCTTGGAAAACTATTAAAGTTCAAGATCAAGATACAATTCTACAACAAATACAAGAATATCTTGTATCACAACCAAGAGTCATTTATAATCATCATGTCATATTTTCAATTAATTCAGAAAAAGTTCTAATAATCATTCCTATATTGCTGAATTACGTTTAATATTTGCTAAAACTCCAAATCTTCCTCCAAATACTCTTGGCCAAAGACATGCAACAAAAATTATACAAGAATATCAAGAGCAATTGATTGAAAATCAAGTATTATATCAACTTACAAGTGATAAAGAGCTAAAAACTCTAGTAGAAAAAAGAATACAAATAGATTATAAGTCAATCAAAGAATATCAGACAAGACTCAAGCAATTAAAATATCACACTAAAGTATAATGCCATTTGGTAGCCAAGAAAGCAAAATTATTAGAAGAGGATATTGTTGAACAATATGATATATCTGGATGTTCTCCACTTGCAATGCAAATTTCTGATCTGTGAGATAAAATCCATGATTATGTTAAATTTGATACAGCAAATTACAAAAGAAGAAAAACTATAATCAAAACCTGATCAATTAAGCATTTGCAAGAAAATTTGCAATAAAATTATAATATTTACCTTGCAAGACAAACCCTTTCAAATTATTTGCAACCACGTTACCAACACATATTTGCGATAAAGGCATATAAGTATTCAGCTTTGGTTAGACTGGCTTCTATTTCAAGATCTGAAATGAAAAATCATTCTGATGAATATTATTGCTTAGCTTCTATCAAAGGAGCCAAAGCAATTGCTAATATATTTATGGCAGATGCTGTTATCATCTCACAAGATAATAAAGCAAAAATTGGACTTGACATTTCTGCAGTTGGAAGAACATTCAAAGCAATTCAATCAGCTAATAAACTAATACTCATTGAAGATCATAATTTTATTTATGGTAGCAAAATGAAACTAATTCCAAGTGTTTACCTGATGATTAATCCTCAAAATAGTAATGATGAACTTTAAAATGGATAACTAGTGATATTTGTTTGTCCTGAGTATTTTATTGGTACTATGTCACGTACTCACATGCAAGATTTGATAAACCTTGTTTGTGATGATCAATTTACATCAATTCTGAAAAAAGAGGGTAAAGTCAAGTTAATTTAGGTTCTTTTAGTTAACGGAGATTCTGATGAAAACCCCAGACACCTAAAAAACATCATTGAATATTATAACCTCTTCCGAAAACTTGATCTTGATTATATTATAATCTGAACGTATGCTCTAAGGCAAAGTGCATATAATCCAGTTGAAAGAAGCATGGCAAGTTTATTAGGAAAACTTGCAGGCATCATACTGGCTATAAATAAATATAGTTTTCACCTTGATAGTCAAGAAAGAGTGATCAATGAAGCATTAGCTTATCGAAATTTCTTGTTTTCTGGCCAAAAGCTTTGTGATATTTAGAAACAAGACTATATCAATAACAAATCTGTCATTACCCAATATATCGACCAATTCCAAGATCCTTTTAAAGATTCTCGTGAGGAAATAAATTGGGATTGGATCAAATATTATACTCAGATCTGTCGATATTCATTAAATATCAAAAAATATACAAATAGAGAATATTGTAGTGAGTATATGATACCAGAATTTGAACTATTATTGGACAAAAATAATGGATTCTTTCTTCCTGTCATCCAAGGAAGAGATGGCCATTTTCTTAATCCAATCCATCTTCTTGACTATATCAACAAACATAAAATCTCATCTTATAACTACCATTATTCATCAATTCCAGCTGAGATACATCAATACCTTTCCTGTAATATTTGCGGCAAATATTTCCCTATCTTAAAGTTTGTAGCTGACCATAAAAAACATAAACATTTAGGTACCTAAAATCATCATCATGCACTGTCAAATTTTGTTATGGCAGAAGATGTACCTTAGAGTCAAGGAAACATGTAGAATTTGAATAATGATCTTGTTGTACATTCAGATATTGAGTAAAAAAGTAAACCAATTACCTGGCTTGATAAAGACAACAGAAAGATCTTATAATATCAAGAAATTAAAAAGTATAGTCAAAGCTCGATTTAATAACTATGTGATTTAGTGATAACTTAATAAAATATTCAGTTTACCAATAATAAGTTTACTTCCTATTCATAGAAAATGGCATCATGATTTAATGATATCATATAAAAATTGTGATATATCAAATATATTTTTTTTAATCTCATGATCATATATCACGTATTATTAATTTCAGTCAGATTTATCGATCTGTTTAATTCTAGTCAGAGTTAAAACTAGAACCTAATAATTCGCTCACCCTACCTACCTACAAAAAAATCATATGATAAATGACACTCCCCTAATATTATAACCTTTACCTATGATTCTAAGACAATCAAAGTTCAAGCTGACAATAAAGTTAAGTCAGGCTCTAGCTACAATTCAATTTATATATTAAGATAACAAATTACCAACCTACTAGCAGATGCAGAATTTTTTACCATATATCTTAACAATGCTAAAGATAAAGAAGAAGCAAAAGAGAAATCACTCTTACCAGAAGTATTAAATATTAAAAGAAGATTTCAAGATGTATTTTCTGAAATCTTACCAAATTAACTATCATCCAAGAGAGTAATTGATCATAAAATTGATCTCATTCCAGGATCTGAATCACCATCCAGATCTACCTACAGGCTTTTTTTTACAGAAATGGATGAGCTCAAGAAACAATTAGCTGATTTAATACAGAAAGGTTTCATTCACCCAAGTATTTCACCTTTTGGAGTACCAGTTCTTTTTGTATATAAGAAAGAATATATATTAAGATTATATGTTGACTACAGAGCTTTGAACAAAATCACTATCAAGAATTGCTATTCTTTATCCAGAGTTGATGAGCTGATGGATAGACTCACAGATTCAAAATACTTTTCAAAACTAGATTTGTATTCAGAATATCACCAAATTCGTATCACAGAAGAAGTCATTCATAAAATAGCATTTAGAACTCACTATGAATACTATGAGTTCTTAGTTCTACACTTTGGTCTTACCAATACACCAGTCACCTTTATGATGCTCATAAACAACATATTTTATGATTATCTTAACAAATTTGTGATTATTTACTTAGATAGTATCTTGATATTAGTAAAATCAAGAAAGAACATATTCAATACCTTCAAATAGTATTAGAAATACTTCACAAACACAAATTATATGCCAAGTGTAACAATTTTGATTGAGTTATCTTCCTTTAGATCTTTTTTAGTTTAGATCTTCATTTTGCACTATCTGTATAACAGATTAGCTTTGTATTATATTTTCAAGAAGATCATTTTCACTTAAGAATTCGAATGAACGAAAAGAATGTAATGTTGCAACATAATTTTAACATAATTGCTTAGAAAAAGGATGACATATTTTCTTTGGGTGGGGTGGGTTTGTTAGACATTTAATACATGTAGATATACACAAATTGGAGATTCATGGAAATTCATCTTCTTGTTTGACCTCTTTAATATTTGATTTTTCTGAAATTGATTTAAAGATATTTCTGCTATTTTACATGTATATGATATATAAAACTGCAACTCTCCTATGGCTTTCAGCCGCTTGAATAATTGATTCGTACATGTATAAAAAAGTTTCACTGATGGGCATGCATATTTATCATGCACTTCTATGAGATTATCTTATCATTATCGTTGTGAACGCCGTATAATATGTCATTTAGCTTTTTATTCTCCTTGTTTTTCGTTAAGAAATTTTGACTCCTCAATCATATTTTTTTTTAGTATCGATGTCACTTCATTGTTGAGTTGCCGCCAAAAAAATATTAAATTTAGCAATATTATCGGTTCTATTGCATCGAAATTGATAATATTACATCAACAACGCAAGATTATCTTGCTCGTATATGCAATATGAAAAAAGATACACGTTTCTATACTTGTATTTAATATTGTGGGGAATTTTTCATGCAAAACTCCACTCCTTTGTCTAGAAAAGGATTAATTAATTTATAAAAAAAACCCCCACTTTTTCTCGGAAATTTTAACAAAATCAACAAATATTCTGTGTATACAAAATATGAAGTAAAATATATTAAATATTTATATATTTAAGTAGTTTTTTGATTAAAATACTCGATCTATAAACTTGCGGATGATTATTTCGTGTCTAAAATTTCTCATGAACTAAAGAGTCAAAGTTATTATGTAAACAATATTTCTATTTTAGAAACCGACTTACTAATAAGATTTAGCCCATTACACTTGCTCTTCTTATAAAAAAGTGATCATGATAACCTTATTTTTCTTACACAAAGAATTTCTTTTATTATTATATAAGAATTAATTATAATATCTTAAGTTAAATCGTTATATTTAATTTTAAGCACCACCTAAGTTTTAGTAATTTCTAAATTTAGCACCATTAACGTTAATATATATATATATATATTTTGATTATAAGTAAAAATTATAATAATCTAATCTTTGTGATTACTTGACTTGAAAACCCCCCCCCCCCCGGGGGGGGGGTAATATTGATGGTATACGGTATGTATAATTTTGTTTCATTTTTTACTAAAATCTAATATATATTACAGTCGCACACGCCCAAGTGCACACACTATATAAATTATTTAAACTAGAAAATATATCTCTAAAAAATGAGTATAGTAAAAAAATATTTAATTTTAATTATTTATAAAAAAAATTTTATTAAAATGTAATAGTTTTATTTTTATTTTATATTATATAGTATATATTTAAAAAAAATAAACGTAATTATAATTATATATATTAATTAAATAGTTTATAAAAAGATTATAAATGTATTAACATTTAATATATTAGCAATTAAAAATTATCTTTTATAGGTGACGACATAATCTTGATATAAGAGCTCTATATATTTTGCTCCCTATAAATGCACATTTTGCATTTTTTTACTATGATCCCAAGGGGATGCACTTAGAAAGATGCAGTGTATATTCTTTGAAGTAAAAAATAAATTTGCTTGAGACTATTATATATTATATAAATGAGAATAAGAAACTCTTTTTTGAGAATTTAAAATAAGAGTATTTATTACTTTTGGAATCTTTAAAAATATCTTATTAACAAAATATGAAAATGAAAATTGCACAAGTTGCTGCATTAATATATTATAACAAATTAAAAAAAATTATATTTTGTTAAAGGAAAAATCTATTTTCATTTAGTTTATGACTGTCTTTAATTATTATTAATCTTAGTCTCAATAAAAAATTCCTACGTGATCAAACTTTGAAATTCAGATTTATATTAGAAATATAATATTTTAAATAACTTGTATTTCTTAATTAGTAAAAACTAAATAACTAAGAGTAATATAATTTATAATATATAATATTTAATATTTATATTTTTTTAAATAAAATAATAAATTATCTAATAGCTCTTGATATAATAAATTAATTAATAAAAACTTAATAAATATTCACTAGATTATAATAAATTTACTATATTAAAAATTTTATTATAAATGAATTTGAAATTTAAATTAGTATTTACTATATAATGAGTTTATTATATTTAAAATAACTAAGTATAATTTATAAAAATATAATTTATTATTATTATTAATATAACTATTTTTAAATTTTATTTATTTCTTAACTAGTTTATTTTATTTAATAATTATAAAAATTTCTTATATATTAAATTATATTATATTATATTAATCTATATTTATATAAAATATTATCTGATTTATAATTAATTATATAAATTAATTAGTAAATATTAAATATTTTAATTGGTTAATTAAAATAATTATAAATATATATTAATATATTAAATAAAATATAAAAATAAATATAAGATTACAAATTTTAAAAATTAAAATATATTTTAATATTAAATTTTAATAAACTAAATTTAAATATTTAATTTATTATATTAAAATTAAAATAAATTATTTATTATAATTATACTTATAATTTATATAATATTAAAAATAGTTAAAAAATATCTAATTTTTATAATTTTTTATAATTTAAAATTATTATAATAAAATTTATATAAAAATTAAATTTTTAAATCTAATTTTTATATAAATAAAATATATTAATTAAAATATAATAAAATAATTATATTAATAATTTTTAAATTAAATCTTTTAAAATTAATATATTAAAAATTGAAGTTTTTATATTAATAATAATAAATTTAATAAATAATTATTATAAAATTAAATTTTAATTTTATAATAATTTTAATAATTTTAAAAATTTTAATATAAAAATATTATTATATAAAATATAAAATATAAAATTTCTTAAATTTAAAAATAAAATAAATTTAATTATAATAAATATAATATATAATAATAATTATAAATTTAAAAATACTTATAATTAATAAATAATTATTTTTTATTTAATAAATAATTTATTTAATTATTTAAAATATAAATATTATTATTTTTTTAAAATATATTTTATTTTTATTTATTTTTTATAATATTTTATAATTTATTTAATTTATTTTTAAATTTATATAATAGATTATTATTAATATTAATTCTTAATTAATTATATTTTAAACTAATTTAAAAATAATTTTAATTATTACATATATTTATTTTAAAAAATATAAAAATTTTATAATAATTATTATTAATATATAATAATAATTAAAAATAATATAATATTTAAATTTTTTATTAATTATAATTAGTAATATATATTATTATTATAATAATATAAAATTTTCTAATTTTATAATTTTTTTTTTTAGTTATATAAAATTTTATTTTTTTATAATTTTATAATTTATTATATAATTACTCTTATTTTTATCTAATTATATGTAAGATTATTTTGTTAATAGTTGTAAACGAGATAAAATATAATATGAATAAGTTTTAATTTTATAACTTATAATTATTTTTATTATTTAAAAGTATTCAGATCTGAGAGAAAATTAC